TGCAAAACCCAACGCCGGGTGGCCCCGGCGTCGGGCCTCCGATGCCTAAGTCAGTGCTCAGATCAAAAGAGAGAGATAAAGTGTGTAGTAAATGAATGAGCAGAGAATGATAATGAGGTACCTTGGCCCCCCTTTTATAGGGGGAGTGTACCTTTGTGGGCTCAAGATGAGCTTGGCCATAATGTTGGGGCTTGGACGTCTTAGTGGGTTTATCTTCCAAAATGCGCTTTATCCATTTAACCGGGTCCAGTATAATATCCTATATCAAATGTACACTTAGTTAAGTAGCTTGGGAAAAAAAAATCCTCCAAAACTACATTTATCATTTGGATATAAATTTTGACAATTTCTAAGTATGATATATCATTACAAAAATAGTATAATTGTTTGTTCAAGAAAATAATTAAGTTTAAATTTAATTGTGCATTGGGACTTGCACGTGGAAAATTCAAACAACAAAAAATTATTATGTGTACAAAAACTTAATTAAAAAATAGAATTATCATTATAGATAGTTTATGTATAATAATTCAAATATATTATGTTATTTTTTATAGTCATATATATAGTGAAAATAATATACACAAAATATACTTTAAGGTGGTTATCTATTTTAGTTATAATAAAAGGGCTCCAATAGTTTACGACTTAATAGAATAACATGCTAATTAGAATAATATGCTAATTATTGGTGATATTTTCTAAATATCTAAAATTTAATACAAAATTCATCACATGGTTAGTAAAAAATTGCAAACTTACACAACTAAATTTCATATTTGTTTATTTTTATTTTATTTTCTAATAAATTATTTTGAAAATAATAAAAAAAGAAAGATAGAGAGAGAAAGATTGAAGTTATATCTGTTATAAACAAAGTATATTATTCTAAAAGGAATAAAATTTTTAAAATAAAATAAAATAAAAGGCACCATCTAGCATTAAGGACGAACTTGCATGTCCATATAAATATATATCTAAAACACAAAATAACCTTTATGTGGTCCAAAAAAAATTATTAATTTAGGTTCTTTTACAAATATCAACCATGAATATGAACAAATGAATCAAAAGAAAAAAAGATATAAGCAAACTTAGAATTCCAACATGATATCTAAACTTGATTTTATTTATGAATTAAAAATAGATGATATTTCAGAACTGATATTAAAAAAAGAAAAATGATAACATACAAATGGGGAGAGTGACATTATTTCAAAGAGGTATAACTGATGTCATTAACTATGAAGACTGAAGAAAAACTTATACTGAAATTGGTTTGATTGAAGGTGTTCATTGGCCCGCAAATATAAAGTTTGTTTACTTTATTTATTTTTAGTTAGTATAATTTTAATTTTTTTGTCAATTTATTGAATAGGCCATCTCAACATGTTCATACATTTTTTTGTAATCATTTATCACATGTGTTAGTTTTACTTTTTATCATTTTAGAGTTATATATTACATTTAAATATTTTATTATTATTGTTTAACAAGAACTCTCTCAATGTGTATTTCTGACAAAGTAAGTTAAATTATGATTATCATAAATTCAATGCAAAATAATTGTTGGCTATTGATCGATCCATTGACATTTATCATCTTGATCGTTATGACATTTATCATCTTGATTGTTACCTTATTATGACCTGAAAATATACAAAAAAATAAAAACATCTTTAAATTATATAATTTATTATATATAGACATTTTTACTTTTATTTTTCAACTTCTAGATGGACATAAAGTGATACAATTTGTATATATAATAAAAATTAGATGATTTAGTTTTGAACATGACATCGGAATTTGGTTTCATTTATGAGTAAGAAATAGACTAATATTGTGGAGTTATATTGTAAAAAAAAAAGAAATGATATAAAAAGATAGAGAGTCTCAAGTCTCAACCATAAGAGATGAGAAACAAATAGTGACGATATAGTTTTGACTCGAAAGAATGAATACGACAATGTATATTTATCATCCAAAAAAAATGAAATAATATCGTTACTAATTTGTTGCAATAAAATTCAATAAGGCTTACTATGATACATCAACTACTTTTTTCTTATCATATATCATAAATATTAGTTTTATAAAAATAATATACTTTTTTATAATATATATATCGTATTTTGTATGTATTCTTTTTTATCTTATGAATTCACTTCCAAAAATTATATTAAATTTTATTTTACATTAATTGTGCGCAAAAAATAAATAACTTTGTTATTGACATGAATATTAACGACTACTGTGCCTATTTGTAAGTTTGCAAAAGGTGATCCACCTTGCATGTCAGTCTGAAAAAAGTTACTAAAATTTATTTAGATAATTTTTTTTTTTAAAAAAAGAGAGAAAAATATGTGGACCTAATTTGAAACATGCAGTTCAAATTGAGTCATTTTTGTTTTTTATTTTACTTATTCATATTATATTTTTCAATTGGATCATATTTCTACATGTTTATTTCAATTATTTCATATCAGTTTACCTATATAATAGTAATAATGTCTTTATTATGCGAGAATGATGAAGTTTCAAGGAGTGTAATTAATGTGAAAAATATTTTTCGTTGAATATCATAAATTATTATTTTAATTTAATTATATTTTTTAAAAAACATATGGTATTTTTTACTCACAA